TCTCTCGTCTAACGAAAGCTTCATAACCCCTAACCTTTATGTGTGCTAACGATGGAACCTTTCCCGTCCACATCTCGTGAGGTGTTTTGGCAACCTTCTTTGCTAGGACAACATTAAGAATGTGGGCGGCAGTCTTTAAGGCATACCCCCAGAAAGAGATTGAGAGTGAAGCTCGACTCATCATGGAATGAACCATGTCTAACAAGGTCCGATTATGCCTCTCAGCCACACCATTAAGTTGTGGTGTCCTAGGAGGTGTCAATTGTGAAACTATTCCACATTCATTGAGGTAGTCGTGGAAATCGATACTAAGATACTCACCGCCTCTATCAGATCTAAGCATCTTTATCTTCCTGCCCAAATGATTCTCGACTTCATGTTTAAACTCTTTAAACATTTCAAAGGTTTCTGACTTATGTTTGATTAAGTAGATATAGCCATATCTGCTATAATCATTAATAAAAGTCACATAGATGTGATTTGCATCCCTTATGGTGGATCTGAAGGGCCAACACACAAATCTGTGTATGAGATCCAACAATCCTCCACCTCTTTCACAAGAACCAGTGAAATGTGATTTTGTCATCTTTCCTAATAAACAAGTCTCGCATGTATCATCTGACCTTAAGTCAAATGATTCTAACACTCCATCCTTTTGGAGTTGGGCCATGCGTTTCTTGTTAACGTGTCCAAGACGACAATGCCACAAGCACGCTTTGTCTATACCATTAGACGAATCAATTTGAAAAACACTATTTCCTAAATTTTGTACAATCATCATAGTTTCATACACACCATCACAAGGTAAAGCTTCAAAATAAAAAAGACCATTTTTATAAGCAGAAATAGAACTACTCTCATCATTAAAAGAATATTTAAAACCTTGTTTAAATAAAGCATGAAATGAAATGATGTTTCGTGTCATCTCTGACGAGTAACAACAATTTATTAAATCTAACCCTAACCCACCACTAAGCACTAAGATATAAACTCCAATCTTGGTGACAGGTGAAGATCACATATTCCCCATGATCAAGTTCATCCTTCCATGCTCCACATCCTTACTTTTTTTAGCCCCTGCAAGTCAGAACAAATGTGAAACCCACATCCTATATCAAGGACCCAAGAACGAGAATATGATGAGTTATTATATAAAAATGTGTAAATACCTGCCGAGGTTGGCTTCACCTTGCCATCCTTGATATCATGCAAGTATTTCGGGCAACTTCATTTCCAATGCCCCTTGTCATTTCAATAGAAGCAAGTGGCCTCTTTGGGGTCAGAAACAGGGGGAGCATCAGAACTGGATTTTCCTTTGGGTCCTGCACTTGCGACCCAGCTTGGAACTTTCCCTTCCAGTTTTTCTTTGGATGACCTTTCTTCTTTTCCTTTTCCCTTGCCCTATGGTCATAACAGGTGCACTAGCAGGAGTTGATGCAATACCCTTTCCCTTCACTTCTGCTTCAGCTGTCGCAGGAGGTTATGCAATTGTGACAAAGTAGTTTCATTGTTGTTTAAATGATAGGTCAATATGAACTGATCATAGCAACTTGGCAGAGAGTTCAACACTATGTCGATTGCCAAATCTTCATCAAAATTCACGTTGAGCTTGATTAGCCTGTCCACGTATCGTTGCATTCTCTGAACGTGGCTACTAATAGAGTCACCCTCCTTCATCTTGATAACAATGAGGGGCTTTATCACCTCGTACTTTTCCTGATGAGCTTGCTTATGGTTTTTCTCCATAAGGTCCTTGTTCATCTCGTATGAGCAGTAATCCTTATAGTGCCTTTTCAATTCTGGAGTCATTGTGGCCCCATGATGCATGGAACTTTTTGTGGCATCATTATAGTGTTTCTTGTAGGCAACCAATTCATCAGAAGTGGCATTCTCTTCGTCGATTTCATCCAATAGTTTCTCGAGGACATATTCCTTGTCCTCAAAACGAAGGGCCATTTTGATGTTGTGCATCCAATCGTTGTAGTTGGTGCCATCCAATTACACCTTCGAACAAATGTTCAACAGAGAGAAGTTATTGTTGTTGTTGGAGGAGGAGGAACTAAAAGCATCAGTTGGAGTAGACATCTGAAAGAGAAAGAAAGATAGTTTTAGTTAGATAAGAATAATCCTCAATATAACACCTAAAATGAAATATCAAGGTTAGGATCCAACAAAATAATTTACAACTTAGAAAAGGGATTTCGTAATTTAATTGTATATTATATAAAGGTAGGTAAATGACGATTTACCAATTTCACCATCGAAAAATGAAATTTTAACGAATTTGGTTTTAAATGAAAATTCCTAGATCTTTTAAGAATCATCGAACTTTTCAATGACATGTTTAATCTCTATTATGCTCATCTATTTGTGATTGGGATACCGAGGATCACAAACAAGATGTGAATAACCATGCAAATTAATTTGATACTCTCGATGTCATTTATCAGCTCATTTTAATGTGCCGGTTAGCCACATGCTCTCCATTAATCAATGATAATTTTCGAGACACCCATTGTCACTCTTTATTTATCCCTATTAGTGTGTCGGTTACCCACACATGCTCCACTAACAACTAATAAAGTGCAATATGTAATTTCATGGGTTAGCATACAAGTTCATATTTTTCCTAAAGTAACTAAAATTGGGAATTTTATAAAAATATGTTTAGTTACTTTATAATTCAGTATACTTATTAATGAGGATTAGGTTGTCCTATCAAACCCGTTCGGCTAACGACCCTCCACCATACAATAAAGAGGTGGGTAAGAGTGGATACTCAATGACGATCATTTTATAAGCCACTTCCTTAAACTCCCCTTATAGTATGACTTCGTGAATGAGGCGTACTAGCGGTCGACTGACGTGTATTATACATATACTAATATAAGACTTTTAATGTTACATATAGTATAAGAGTGTATTTTTTAAAACTTTTCAAAAATACTAGGTTATATTTTAAATTTCAAAAATTAAGAATTTTTTTTTTAATTCAAAGTTAAACCAATCATGAATTCAAGATAATGATATCAAATTACTTAGAAAAATATTTAGTTTTATACAATTAAAACATTATTAAATGTAATTATCCCAATCAATTCATGAGATAATAATAAAACCGAATTTTATGGATCTGACAGCCCACCACGTCGTGGCAGGGCAAAATCGCAGGTCACCACGTCGTGGTGGCAGAACATAATGACGATTCTGTTTTGCTTCTCCTTATTCAAGTTCAACGATTGTATCAATTCAATAGAAAACTAAACCTACGCTCTGATACCACTGATGGGTATAATGCAAAACATATAATTCCTATGTGTGCATGCAACCATATTACTTGATCTATGTTTTCTCTAATTGAACATACAACTTTGAACAACACAATAGAAACCCTAGAACACTAGCATATTTCCGAAAAATACAAATAGGGTTAGAAGAATCATACCTTGATCGCTATTTAGTAATAACAATGTAAATCCTTGTGTTGTTGAAGCCTTGAGAGCAAGCGTCACAAATGTCACGCCTCTAGTGGTTCACACCCAACACTAACAAATGAAGATGATTGAGAAGAGGAGAAAGACTCTAAAATTCGGCTAGCACTTCAAATAAACCGGTGGCCGAAATTTTTAGGGTTGAGGCTTTATTTATAGTGCAGTCAGGAAACTCTAGATAAGCTAAAATCCAAGATTATCTTAAACTGAGTAAATATCCACTTTCCTGATTATCCACCAGAGATTATTCTCGAATCCATTAGGCTTCAAGAAACCGTCCAAGCCTAATGGATGGTTCTAGATTGCCTCTTGCTCAACTATTGAGCAATTGCACTTCAGCCCCTGTACTTTTAATTAACTTTTTTAATCCTAAAATTAATTTCAATTAATTTCTGATTAAATATTAACTAAATATTACTATTTCTAATTATTATATTATTCTCATAATATATTATCAAATTATTTATTTCAATTTATTAAACAAATAATAAATCAACCCCTCTCTCCAAAAATCATCCTGTCTAGTTGCTAGTCTTGAGGGCAACCCAAAAGGACTGTGCTACTATCAATTCAAGTATATACAAATTATAGTTATTAGCTTAGACACCTAATCCAACAAATGGTGGCAGTGATCGAAAGTTGTGACAGAGGATGAGATGTAGCGGTATATGGGCCGTCGCCTGGGTGGTGGTAGAAAGGCTATCGTCGACGGTGGTGGATGTGGTGGTGTTCATCCACATTGTTGAAGAAGTTGAAAGGGTTTTTGTTGTTTGAGAGAAATTATGTTTAGATCTATATCTAAGATACGATGGAATTGACACAAAGAAATAAATTTGGTTTAATTTTTGTTTTACTTAAAGTCATGCCATTTTTTTTTGTTTAAGCTGTGGGACAAAAAATACCCTTTATAAAGTTAGTAAACATTTATTTTAGAAATAACAAATATCCTCTTGATCATAAGGTAAAAATAATAGGTTCTTAGGGTTCTTATATATATATATATATATATATATATATATATATATATATATATATATATATTAACAATCGATCTTGTCTATTCATATGAATTTAGACTCAAATATGCACACATAAAATATTTTAGAGTGTTAGATTATTTCTGTATCCAGATATATTTGTAAAATATCACTATATCTAAGGTCCCCCCCAATCCCAATTGAATGAGCGATTCACGTGTTTACTAATTCCACTTCAACATAGTCTAACTATCATCCAAGCAAATCTGCACTCAAATAGATTGCTGCCTGAATATGGACCACTTCTCCGATATCGATGGCATCTCCCATGTCTCAAACAATATCGAAATTCATGACTACAAACTTGAAAATAATTCAATGACAAATAGTATTTAACAACTGAAAATCTGACCGTAAGTTGGTCCTACTAATTTTGTTCACCTGAGATTATATGTGTGGAGGACAAAAAATAGATTAAGAGCCTCATATAAATTGGCATTGAAATCCATTTAGATACTCTTCCATAATTTCTAGTTACATTCCTCGACCATTTAGATTATTAAAAATAAGTTACAGAATAAATAAAAAATATAAAAAAATGGCTGCATCAACTTCTATAGGTTTGTTTCTCTTTGTAGGATTTCTAGTCGCAAGAACCAAAGCAGGGCCAATCGATATCAAAACTAAAGGTGCCAAGGGCGATGGCGTCGCCAATGATGGAGAAGTACGTACATAAACACATACACACACGTTATGTTTTTTTTTTTTTTTTTTTTTTCATATGAATATTCATTTAAATTTGGATTTATGTGTTGTGGGCATGCATTACATGCAGGCGATCATGACTGCATGGAAAGAGGCTTGTGATTCCCCAAACCCAAGTCAGGTGGTGATCCCACCGGGAAAATATATGGTGTCTTCTCCACTTACTTTATCAGGTCCATGCAAGAACCCTATTGAGATAAATGCAAATGGAGCCACCCTCAAAGCCCCATCGGATCCTACCGGCATAAAAGGACCAGGTTGGATCATGTTTAAAAATGTCGATAAGATGACTTTATCTGGAGGTATCTTCGATGGACAAGGCCAGGAGGCTTGGAAGACAAACAATGCTGCCAAAACCGGAAAATGCGACTTACCATATGTACGTATTCGTATATCTCTGATTATATATTATATATATGATATGATATCAATATGTCTTTGGATTAATTTGATTGATATTTGTTTTTCAAATTTGATCAGAACTTCAGATTCGATATGGTGAAGGCTTCGTTCATTAGAGGTATAACATCAATGAACAGCAAACACTTTCACATGAATTTTCTTGGGTGCGACGGAACAACCGTTGAGAAAGTGACGATTGAAGCACCGGCGGAGAGTCTGAACACAGACGGGATGCATATCGGGAGAACAAATGGTCTCAACATTACCGATTGCACTATAAAAACAGGCGATGATTGTGTCTCCATTGGTGATGGAAGCTCGAATATCCATATCGAGAAAATAAAATGTGGACCTGGACATGGCATCAGTATCGGAAGCCTGGGTAAGTACCCGGATGAAGCACCGGTTGAAGGAATCTTTATCAAGGGTTGCACGATGACCGGCACCGATAATGGTCTCCGGATCAAGACGTGGCCTGGTTCACCACCTGGAAAAGCAGTCAACATGCATTTCGATGATGTTCAAATGGAAAATGTCGGAAACCCTATATTAATCGATCAAGAATACTGCCCTTATGTCGGTTGTAAACCTGAGGTACGTAATTAATCCTTCCATTCAAATCTTCTCACATGCATTTAATTAATTACAAGAATTTTAGCTCTTCTAATCACATTTCATTTAATACTTTTCGTTCTTGCTCAGACCAACTCCTCAAAGGTGAAAATTGCAGACGTTTCGTTTAAAGGAATCAGGGGTACGTCTTCCACAAAAGCAGCGATTAGGCTACTGTGCAGCAAAGACATACCATGCGAGAAGGTGGAGTTGGCTGATATCGACTTGAAATACGAGGGAAAAGAAGGAGCAGGTGCCATCTCGGAGTGTAAAAACGTGAAACCAATAACCACCGGAAAAATCATCCCCGAGGCATGTGCAGCACCAGTAGAACCCTTTAAAGAAAAAGGTGGCGAAGCCGATAGCAGCAGTTAGCCGTTGATGATCGCTGCTCTGTTTCATCGTGTAAGTAGTGGCGGTATGATTGTAATCGATTAATTACTAGATGACCAAATGCAGTTTGTGCGTGAATATTCGTGCATCGGTTATGTCATTGTTGTTTTATATTATTTCTGGTCAATGTATGTATACCGTAATTAGACAATCAAAAATGATAATTAAAAATGATTTGTTTGTTTGTTTGGCTTTTTATTTAAGTTATACTAAAATCTGTTTATTATTTTTTGAGAAAAGTGCACAATATTCCATGTGGCAGTTTTTTTTATTATTGTCCAAAATAGTTTCAAATTGTAAAAATTGTCATTCTGGGTTTCTGTAACATCAAATTTCGAGATGTTTCTGATTTCTGGTTAATGAACCGTAATTGATCAAATAAAGTCTTGGGTTTTAAAGGAATAAAGTTTTGATCCTATTGGATGTTGATAATGTTAAGTCATTTAAGTCATTGAATTGTGTTTTTGAGCCAAAGGATAAAATTAAAAAAAATGATATTTCGGATTTCTTGCATGAATTAATAAATTTTGTTATGTATGTTTTAAGTCAATAATAAATAGATAGAATTGTGAGGCTAGTCAATACCATCGTGTGCATATAAAGATCACTAAAACAGAAGAAATTATGACTATTTGAAGCTGTAATGAAATTGAGAAAAACCCGTCACCACGACGTAGTGAGGAGTTCACCACAGAGTGGTGAGTTGTGCAACTCAAGCCCATTAAATTAGGGTTTGGTTTGAATTTAAATGCTTTAAACCCTTGTTTTAGGTCATTTTGCAGCCTCCATCGCATTAAGAACCCATCTTTCTAGCAAACCCTAGCCTCCCTTCATAAATCAAGCTCCCCATCTATCTTCTTATCCATATTCTTGAGTTTTATGGCTTTTGGGTGTTGTGTTTTTCAAAGACTTGGTTTTGAAGCTTTGTAACTGAAGAGATCAACCTTCATCCACCTTCTGGACCATTGTGAGTTACAAAGATCCTTGCTTTATTGTGTTTCATCATTGGATCTATAAGTATAACGTGATTTGGTCCATTTTAATGAATTTTGGTCCCTTTTGACTTGTTTCATGGAGTTTGAAGAACTCCATGAGCTTTGGTTTATGTTTAAATTTTAGATCTAGTGATTTGGTGGAGAAGAGAGTGTATGCAAGAACTCTTCTTACTTCATGAATGAAGAAAGTGGATTTTTGGACATTTCTTAGCTTAAGGTTTTAGATCTTGGAAATTAGTGGCATTATTATGGATAAAGTTGAAAATTTTATCCATCTAATCATCATGATTGATTCAGATTTAAAAGTTGGAGGCTTAGACTTATTGGATTAAGTCGAGAAAGATATATTATTAGATTCTTTGAGACTTAAAGTTTAGATCTTGATTGTTTAGACCATCCTAATGGATAAAGTTGGAAACTTTATCCATTATGAATTTATTAAGTTCCATATCTGAAAAGTTGGAAACTTGGACTTAAGAGTTAATAGCTTAATGGAATAATCTGTCGAGGCTGTCCACTACGGTGTGGTGAAGTGTTGGCCACTTCGTGGTACACTGCATGTAATGCCCGGATCTTGAGATACATTATTCATAATTAAATTATCATTTTGAGGATTGCCATGACATGGTGGAGGCACCACCATGACGTGGCGAGGCAAGAAGCGTTTGCGAGTTTCATTTAAGCCACCACGACGTGGCAGTATTGGCTAGGCGTGGTGGACGGTTGACGTGAAAATCCTATTTTTTCGTGTCTGCTCCCTATTTAAAGGAATGAGGAGGCTAGGGTTTGCTCATCCTCATCCTCCATTAGCCCCCTCAAGCCCTAAAGAAACCCCTAATCACTTTCCCCCATTATTGAGCTAGTTTTGGTGTTCCTTGAAGCTAAAGAAGGAAGAATGAGAAAGAAGGAAGAAAAGATCAAGCAAGCAAGTCTCCATTCTTCACCTTAGCACTCTTCTGGACTTTTGTAAGTGTCCAAGACTCGATTTTTATCATGCTAGGTTGCTAGATCTTGAGTTTTATCCCATTAACTTCTTGTTTTTTCTTGTTGGGATGGTGAGATCTCTTAAAGTTTGCAACTTTCACTACTAGAAAACTGTCCCTTAATGACACGCAAACAATGACACGCAATGATTTATGATACGCATTATTTGTGTGTTTTAAAAATAATGTCCGTTTAAAAAAAATGAAGGTTAGAGGACACACATTTTTGTGTGCCTTAAAATTAGTGTCCAAAAAAAAACACGGAGGGCACCTATGTTAAAATGAGTGTCGTGTAGAGATGTAGCTTTATATTTTATTTAATGAAACACACTTTTTCTTCTTTCGCAGCTTGGGGGGGGGGGGGGGGAATGAAAATCCCAAAAGTTTGAAAGGCCGTCATTTTATCATCTACCTTATTTCCATCCTTCTTCTCTCTCACTAATCAATACCCAAAAAAACCCTAATATCATCACCACTCCTCTTTTCTCGCACAACAAGAATCTACAACACCAATCATGAAGTTCTCAAAATGTTCAAAGGATCGGGAATCAAGATCATTATCAGGCTAGGAAACGAATTCCTGAGAGATATAAGCACAAGCCAAGATCGAGCCGTGGATTGGTTGAAAATCAACGTCGAACCCTTCATCCCCGGGACACGTATCCGTGGAATTACAGTCGAAAATGAGGTTCGAGGCGGCGGCGATCAGGAACTCTGGGAAGTCCTGCTACCGACGGTGAAAAACATCCACACTGCTCTCGACCTCCTCCACCTAGCCGACGATGTTGAGGCTTCAAGCCCACATTCCACCGGTGTGTTCGCTAGTTCATTCCATCCGTCAGTCGGCGCGTTAAAGGAAACCTTAGTTCCCTACATGAAACCTCTCCTCGAATTCTTCTCCCAAATCAAGTCCCCTTTCTACATAAACACGTATCCATTTCTCGCATATATCAGTGATCCCGAACACACCGATATCAATTACGCAGTCTTCAAAAAGAACGCAGGAATAAAAGACGCGAAAACGAAATTACATTATGATAACATGTTCGAAGCAAAAATCGATGCAACTTACGCTGCTTTGGAAAAAGCTGGATTTGAGAAGATGGAGGTTATAGTATTGGAAACCGGATGGGCTTCAAAAGGTGATGCGAATGAAGCCGGAGCTACGTTGAGTAATGCGAGAACATATAATCTCAACTTACGTAAAAGACTACTGAAGAAGAAAGATACACCTTACAGACCAAAAATGGTGGTGAAGGCGTACATTTTCGCCATGTTTAACGAAAACCTACAACCCGGACCGACCTCCGAGAGAAACTTCGGGCTTTTCAAAGCCGATGGAAGCATTTCTTACAATATCGGATTCACAAGACTTGTACCTTCTTCTGCAACATCTCTTTTCTCCTTCAAGGTATGAACCATGAACTATAATTTCTGATTCACTGATTCCAGTTCCTTTCATTGATTCCAACCCTGAAATTCTTTCAACTTTTGTAGGTAATCACCACATGTTCCATAATTTTAGTATTGATGGTGTTAAATTTGTAGGGGAATTTATATACTTAGAAAAAGATAGCAAAATCAATATAATGCTTTCTGTTATAAGGAAAATAAGGTAACTCATTTATCTGTTTCTTCCCCTTATCATATCATGATAATACTTGAATTAAAAATGAAAAGAACTCAATGTTAAGCCTCTTTTGATTGGTTTTTGTGGAAATGTTGATAGAGCCTTATGATTATTTTGGGAGAAGAGGAAGAAAAGAACCTGAAGTTGTGGGTGTTGCATCTTTGAAGAGAGCATATATGGAGAACATACCATATTCGGTGGGAGGTTTCTGAGTGACATCCCCAATTTCTCGGCCAGAATAGACCGATTTGTTTATGCTTATTTAAATCAGAATATTCTTTTCAAAAGAGTAATAATGCGGAATTTGTGCCCAAAAACATGACAATATCATTATAAAAGCATTTCCGAGGAAATGTGTTTCATTTATATTTAAAAACCTTGGAATGTCATGGTCAATACAACAATATAAGCATAAACGTAATATTACAGGCCTTACAATAGTTTATTATTTTGTTGGCCTATTCTCCTTTAAATCTCACTCCATATTTAAACTCATCACACGTGTGCTCTTACGCCGCTACCTGTGATACAAAGAAACCAAGTGAGCCAAGCTTGGGAAAGCCTGGTGAACACATAGGGTTTTCAACCCACGATAGTTAAGTTTATTAATTTCATCAATCAATCAATCAACCTGGTTACCCGTTCCCGTTATCCTCACTTTCTGTCCCTAATGCATCTAAATTAAGGGACATATCCTAAGGATTTTTTCATCGGGGTGACAACACTGTGTAGGGGATTCCTCAACAATATATGTCAAAAAGGCAACCATGAGGGGGATAGAGTACACCTGGTTAACACAGTTCAAAAACACCTACAGGTTGTGAGCCTGCCAGCGTTCCACTAGACTGTCTAGAATAGTCTGTGGTCGTCATCTATACTCCGCTAGATGACTGGATCATCTTAAACATCGATGCCTCTCATCATTTATTTCATCATCTATACCATCTACCCATCTTTACCCCTCATATTTATAGGTACAAAATACATATATACAGTTTAAATCAAATAAAACATGTATATTTTGTTCATCCAACATAAATATCAAGAACACAGATAATATGCACACATAACACGTAATTTTTATTAAAAATACTTCATATTTATGTGTAAGACGAAAATAACTGTGCACTCACCTGACTAATTAGTGGTTACTAACTATTTTCTTAATCGTCGTTATATCGCACTTTCTTTATTTACGACTTCTTGCTCGAAAGTTCTGAACTCTAATTTCAATACTTAGGGCCGTTATTTATAATAAGAATTGCTCAGAGGATATCTCTATTTATATCAAGGATTTTGAATCGTTCATACAATATCAAAAGATTAGTCACCCATGAAAAAGGTACACGTATAACTTCAATTAATTAGATGTGTACGAACATACTTTGTAACATCCGTCTCTCGAGGTATTGATTAATTATGCAAATTAATATTGGTTTTGGACTAAGGTTTGGGCGATGACCCTTGTTGGAATGGACCCTAGAAGATTGGACCAAGGAGTGGGCAGCCCATAAGCCGTATGCAGGGCGTAACCCCGCGTACGCGGGGCGTAGTAGCCACATTGGATGCGCGGGACTTGGGGGCGTACGCGCAGCGTACCATGAGGTACACCCAGCGTACGCGAGCAGATGTCAAACCCTAATTTTTAGGGTTTAAGACATATATAAACTCCATTATAGCCACCCCTTTGGCCTCCTCACCTGTCCCTCACTCTCAGAAAACCCTAGTTCGTCCCCTTACTCCATTTCTTTGTGTGCTTGACCTTTAGAAGTTTATTTTGGTGAAGAAGGGGTTGGAAGAAGTGAAGCAAGGTTGAAGGAAGAAGCACTTGAGTATCTTGAGCTCAAGGATCTGGAACAAGTTCACCTTTGGGCACTCAAGGGAGGTATATAGCTCCTATCTTTCCTTCTTGAATCATATATCTAGGTTTTGGAAGATTTGGACCTTTTACGTCCAAAGATTGGATCTTGATCATGCAACTTCGATTTTGAGCTTAGGGTTGCCACCCTTGAAGCTCAATGTGTTCCTTTAGCTGTAAAGCTGCAAGATTTGAGGCTTTTATGAAGCCATGCAAGAGATCTAGCCACTTCCATGATGGTTCTTTGTCACTTTTTAGTATTGGGCTCATTTGGTGGCTTGCAAGCCACCAAGTGATCGACTTTATGGGCTAGGATGAAGTATTGGACTCAGATCTATAGTTTGGACATTCTGTTGTAATAGATTAAGTCGTTTTGGAAAGGATGGATTAACAGGAGAGTCTGTTGTGTGTACACGCCAGTACGCACAGCGTACAAGCCATTCAAGCAGTACGCGCAACGTACAGAAGAGTACGCTCAGCGTACGCTCAGTCAGTGGACTTTTGTTATTGGGCCTTGGTTTGGGCCAAGTTTTGGACATAGTGGTAATGGGTTGTGATGGGCCTTTAGAAGTCAGTTAAGGGCCCAAGGATTAGTGGGCTTGGAAGGAAAGCCCATTTAAAGAGTTGGGCCCAATTCAGAAAATTGGGCCATTTGGGGACTTAATGGGCCTTAGTGAGGACTAGAAAGGATTGGGCATAGGTCATGGCCCAAAATAGATCAGAGGGGTAAAATGGTCATTTTACGCATGGCAGAGTTATCAGTTTTTGACTAAATGTTTATTTGGTCATTATAGCCGGGGAGTAGTTGGAGCAGCAGACGGTGTCACCTTTGTACGTCTTTTTCAGCAGTCAGTTGAGAGGTGGGTTTCCTTCCAGTAGGAACGAGTCTACGGCCACAAATGCCGACCTGTTTAGATGATAGTAGTTCCAGACTTCGGTCCGATGCCGGGGTGGTCTCGAGAAGTAGTTATGTATGCTTGATGTCTTCATGATTCATGCATGTTTATGTTATGTGTATATGTTCCGGACTACGGTCCGATGCCGGGCAAGCCCGATGCAGTATATGTGATTATTTTATATGTTCATGCTTATGTTATATTCAGTTTATTCCGGACTTCGGTCCGATGTCGGGCGGGGCCCAAGTTATTCCGGACTTCGGTCCGATGTCGGGCGGGGCCCGATGCAGTGGGCGGGGCCCAATTTTATGTCGAACTTCGGTCCGATGCCGGGCGGGGCCCGATGCAGTGGGCAAGGCCCAATATCTGTTATATATGTTATTGTATGGTATGTGGTAGTTTGGATGAGCTCACTAAGCTTCGTGCTTACAGTTTCAGTTTTGGTTTCAGGTACTTCAGCTAGCAAGGGAAAGGGCTCGGGATGATGGCATGACACACACCATAATTTTTCTTAGCCTGGGAGTTTACTCTGATATTTTATATGAGATTGTGATATGATAACAGTTTTTATGAGATTTTGAGATACATGTTTCATGATTTTATACTATGATTATGATATTTTACGTTTGTTAAATGATTTTGAAGACGGAATTTTTGGCTAGTATTTTTGGGATGTTTCACTTTGACTGTTTAACACATTATTCTTATCATGACTTCAATTTGAAAAATGTACGGCTACTTCTTTTTCATCAACACGTATCCCTTGTGCATGACTTATCCATTTTGTTTTAGGATAAGTTTAAAGCATTTATGCTTCATTTGTAAGAAATCCATATATTTAGGATTTTAGATATATATACACGTTCTTTTTATATAAGATAACAAATCTCTTTTAACTGAAATATAATACCAACGTTTCTTTCTTTGTATTATTTTATTTTATAAATATCATCAATATTAGACATATATTTTATTTTACATATATTTATAATCGTTAACTACCATCGTAAATTATAATTGGAAACTATCGTCGAATAATAGGTGTAACACAAAAACATAATTGTTTTACTATTCGGGTTCACTTTTGGATGTATTTAGATCAAATACATCTTATAACATATAATTTGAAATTTTAGGTTTGTTACAATTTTTGTTAAGATTTTTTATCCTAAATAATCTTTTTATTTTTAATGTTTATTTTAGCCATATTTATTAAGTTTTTTTTAAATAAATTTTTACACAAATATTATATACGCATAATATTTGTCAAATTTCCATGCATATAATACATAAACACATATACTCGAATAATTCTCTTTCACTTATTCTTAAAAGGTTACAATCGTCGACCGATGTAAATATAGATTTTATAATTATGCCAAACAGGAAACACGAGCGTTACAATTACGTTCCCTTAGGATGATTCCGTCCCAGAATCATGCATCAACAAACATATGTGGATAACGACTTCTCATGTCACTTTCTGTCTCCCAAGTGAGGTTCGACCCATTCGTATGTTTCCATCGCACCAACACTAATTCGACTTCTCATGTCACTTTCTGTCTCCCAAGTGAAGTACATGTAAATCTGGAATACATGGATTTGGCATCTTTACAAAACAACCACACAAAGCAGGAGATATGGTAAAATCCTCACCTTTTCATTTCAAATCCTTCCATTAATTTATGTATTTGTTAGAATACCTAAACAATAAACATCCCAATTATTATATTGCAGATAATTGAATATACTGGTGAAATTGATAGACCTCCTATAGCTGACAGAATAGAACACTTGATATACAACTCATTGGTGGTAAGTACATTTATTATTTATTATTTATTATTTATTGTTAACATAAACTTGTATTGTGATATGAATTTGCACTTTGCAATGCAGGGTCCAGGAAGCATAAGGCTCATGGGTTTGAAAGAGCCTTCTTCTGGTAATGACAAATTTACCCTTGGTCTTACCATGTTTGGAGTTACAAATCCATGTGTAAATGTTGTGAAAGAAAGATTGAATAAGGAAGGTTATGAGACTCTGTTTTTTCATGCAACTAGAGTTGGAGGGAGAGCTATGGAGGATTTGGTTAGAGGAGGATTTACATAGGTGATTCTTGAAAACTTTATATTGCATTTTTTAATCTAATTCTTTATAAGGGACTCATAAAATTCTTACTTTTGCAAGGGTGTTTTGGACATTTTTTAATCTAATTCTTTATAAGGGACTCATAAAATTCTTACTTTTGCAAGGGTGTTTTAGACATTACAACAACAGAAGTTGCAAATCACATAGTTGGATGTGTTTTGGCTTGTGAGGAATCAAGATTTGATGCAATAATCGAAAAGAAAATTCCTTTTGTTTTAAGTGTGGGAGCTTTAGATATGGTGAACTTTGGTCCTAAGAACACCATACCTACAAATTTTCAACAAAGGAAAATATATGAGCACAATAAACAGGTATCTATCTATCACAATGGCATTTTTGTAAATATTCAGAAGTTATTGTTAATGGAAAAGTCTTGTTTTCTTGACTTTTCTCTTTTCTTTATTAAATTGTTACTTCTGCATTACTAAATCAAAAAGAAACACCAATATAAAGTATATTAATTATGTGGGATAGAAATTTGAATACGAAAAAAATGCCCTCATTGTGTACAGGTGTTATTGATGCGAACCACAGTGGAGGAAAACAAGAAATTTGCTGCTTTTATTGCACAAAAGTTGAACAAATCATCTTCAAACATGGTAAGACCAAGGATAAATTGTTCTGGATTGATGATGAACGTGTAATTGACGCCACACGAGTAGGAAGCATTGCACATTTGATTAATCATTCTTGTGAAGTATGTCATTTATTAATTTTCTTTTAGTGTAAATGCAAGAAATAGAAAAGTAATTCAACTTGTATTTTTTCAGCCAAATTGTTATTCAAGAGCTATCAGTGTGAATGGAGATGAACACATAATCATTTTTGCCAAAAGGGATATTGCCCAGTGGGAAGAACTCACATACGATTACATGTTTTCTTTTCTTTTCTTCTCTTCTCTTCCATATATATAATATAATATAATCATCTACATAGGAATTATTATTATTATTTTTTATAAATTTAATATTGCAGATTCTTTTCGATTGATGAACAACTTGCCAGTTATTGTGGGTTTCCAAGTTGTCGGGTATAGTTAACGACATTGATGCAGACGTAAGAATATTAACTTTGGTCATAATCTCTATGTTTGGTTCATATCTCCTAACTCGGTATGTCTACTTATCTTTATGAATAACAATGCTTCATTATTTATTTATTTATTTTAGAACAAATAGCAATGCTTCATTTACATTGCAATGTCTTGATCAAAATTAATGTGTTCTTCCATGATCAACATGCAGTAGATAAGAGTCGTGAAAATAACTTGACCCACAAGCTTCTAGAGGGTGTGTTTGCTTCTTTTTAAAAGGTATGATAACTAGTCCCCAAAACATCATTATTATTACTTCATGGCTTGTAGAGGGCATGTTTGGTTCTTTTCATTTGTTGTATTTTCAGATTTTAAGGTTGTTGATTGTGTGATTAATTTTTTTTTTGTTTCAGCTAATGCTTCAAGCCCTTACTTTCCATCCACGCCCGGTGGAAAACCGCCCATCACACCAAGTTCAACATTTTTTACCTAGTGTACCAGGTGGAAAACCAATGACACAAAGGATTTTTACATGATATGTGAAACAAGAAGGTGTCCCTTAATAGCAATGTAATATCAGGTTATATAGTTAGGGAAAACCCCTTACTAACAATGTACTATTTGATCACCTTAATATCCGTGTATTACAATTTTTCGATAACTTGATTGACATGATATTGGATGAAATTGATTGTTATATATTTGTTTCCATATCTTTATATTATGTGTAAATGAATATCGTAAAGGCATTTCGTAAATGGTTGCTGAATTTTATGACACGCAAATGTTTGTCATCTTCATTTATGACAAGGGATTTAATGGTACGCAATGCGTGTTGTAAATACGCGTCGTAAGGTTATGACATGCAAATACGTGTTGTCTTCCTTTATTACAGGGCCTTCCTTGACACGGAATGTGTGTCGTAAATGTGCGTCGTAAGTTTACGACATGAAAAAGTGTGTCGTGTTCCTTTATGACAGGGCCTTCCTTGACACACATTTGCCTGTCATATGTGGCTTTTACGACACGCAATGCGTGGCATTAAAGGGTATTGTTGTTGTAGTCTTTATGAATCTATGGGGCATTTGGTGTAATTTATGCCTTGGATCTGGAGTTTGGTTGGTTTTTCAATCCATGCATGAGATTTAGGTTATAAACCCTCATTTTGACCTAATATGGGTTCAAGACATGCATTGGACATGCATGTATATAAAGCACCAACTTTTAGGTTAGTTTTGGTGTTAGAATATCACTTCTGGATAGGATGGACTTTAGATTTTATGGAATAAGTGCTTACTGGTTAAGATCGTGCATTGTTAAGCCTTTTGGGACTTAGGGATTTAGGTTTTGGACCTTTTGGGTGGTCCTAATGGATAAAGTTAGAAACTTTATCGTTCTAGACCATATTTTTGACCAAATCTGAGCTTCGGAGCTCTTGGAATCGAAGAAAACAGCTTAATACATTAAGTTGTTGGAACCCCCAGGTACCACGGCATGGTATTAGGTTACCATGGTGTGGCGGATGAGATTTTCCCGACTGTTTGGTTGTATATGGGCCACGACGTGCCCAAGGAAGACCACGTCGTGGCGATCGGTTGGAGTCAACATTGACTGTTGACTTTGACCGTCGACCTTGAGGGTTGACTTTTGACTTGTGGATTTTTGTTCAGCTATTAATGTCCTAATAGGTAGATTAAGGTTTTTCCTTGGGTGATTATCTAGGTGGCGTTTAGCACCTGTTGTGGGATTTTGAGGGCGTGTTAACTTTTGAGCTGTTGTGCGAGGTAAGTTTTCTCACTATACTGTAGGTCGTTAGGGATTGTATGTGCTTGTAGTCTTTGTGACTCTTGCAATATGCATTGTATGCCTGTGTTCCTGTTTGCTATAGATATATATATATATATATATATATATATATATATATATATATATGTGGGGTGAAATAGACCTAGGGGCGAAATAGACATGATACAACCTTGTGATGACATATGAGTTGAAATAGACTCGGGGGTGAAATACACCTGGAGGTGAAATAGACCTGGTACAGCCTTATGCTGACATATGAGTTGAAATAGACTCGGAGGTGCAATAGACCCGGTACAGCCTTGAGCTAACATATATGTATGGTATGCAGTATTTTGGGGAACTCACTAAGCTTTGTACTTATGGTTTTCAGTTAATGTTTCAGGTACTTCCGATTCGAAGGGGGAAGAGCTCGAGATGATCGCATTGCACACATCACGATTTCCCGTTTTATTGACTCTGATGTACTTTTGGGATGTTTATGGATACTTTCTAAATACCTTATGGTTTTGACAAACATGTTTTGTTGATGGTTTATTTAATATAAAAACAAAATTTTTTAGTTTTGAGTTTTTGGACGTTACAAGTTGTCACACCCCCAAACCGAAACAGCGGAAACGTTCAAGGGCGGATGACTTCATGTGTAGTGTCACAACAATTGTATC